CCCCTGCTGCCAAATTTCCCCACAGGCCAGGTGCTATGGCTGCGCAGGCAACATCTGGCCCCCAGGCTGGAGGTTGAGCACCCCTGGACCACCCTGTTCCTCCTAAAGCCTTCACCCATAGGTGTTATCCTTAAGAGGCTTTGTCCTTGTTAATAGCTTTGATTTTCCACTAGTCATGCTCTCCTTGCTAGTGCAAGTCGGCCGCATGGTGGCTGCTCCTGGCAACATAGCTCTTGCTTCACAGCCCTGCAGACTTTTAACTCTAGCTAAAAAACTTTAACTTTGGCTTGGAAATGTTAACTCAGGTGAACATTATTAACGTGGGTGTAGAAATAACTTCAAGTGAAGCATTGACAGCACTGTCGAGATGCTCAAGAAGGCTATGTTTTGTTTTAGACACCTGGGAGATGCTTGTTTAACTCTAATGACATCAGGACTAAAGGAACAGCATCATTTGATTATGTTTTGCCTAGTGTGTTGCGTGTGTGATATGTATTATGCGATCTAACAAATTAATGCACATTCCAATAAAGTTATATTTATTTTTATTCAATCTGCAACTGAACAATACAGCTCCAGGCCCCTAAAATATTAGTAAAGCTTTTAGTTTCTTCTTACCTAGAGAAGAATGTGTGTTGTATAAGATGATGTATCACACCATCTGCACTCCCCTTTCCAAAATCCAAGGGGGTGTGTGTGGATAGATAGTGCAAGCTGTTGTGGGCTGAAGCTCACATCAACAGACCCTGGCCAGCCACTTCTGAGTGCAGTGCTTTTAAAATAGTTTAGCAGTCCCAAGCCCTGTGGCTGGCACTGCAGAGGTTCATCTTGCCTGTGCAGACATGCAGTTCCACTACCCTCCCCACGGTCTGTTACTTTTCCATACAGCAGCAGTAGGTGCCGAGTAAACCTGACAAGGAGGGGTCTGATCAGTTTTTCTGGCTGCTGTTCAGAGTCTTGTGGGGCAGGGAAGCTGTCAAGAATTAGTCCCTGCTTTGAGGTCTAAATGGGTAAGAGAGAGGATGGCTATTTCTGTTGTACAGAGAGGGGGAGCTGAGATACTCAGTGTTGCATGGAGTTTGTTAGAGCTAGGAGTTGGACCCATGTCTTCTGAAGCATCAGTCCAAGGGTTATAGAGATCTTGCAACCCAGTGGTGTTCAAACTTTTTTTGGCTGTGTACCTGTTTACCTGCAAATACAGCTGGCCCTTGCTTAGGAAGAGTGTCAACGCCAGCATCAACATACAGCAACACTATTATTCACTGCATGTGGACCAATCAGAAGCTCTGCCACCATTATTAAAATGTAGGCATGTACCTCTGGGCAAAGCTCCATGCTCCCTTGGGGATGTGTGCGCCCAGTTTGAAAATACAGTTTTAACCTACCTATATCTTACCCTGGGAACATTTCTGTCTTTCATAAGCATGCATGTTTAGTCTTGTTCCTTTTGATATATTAAAAGTAAATCTTGTCTTTTCTCTTTTAGATGGGTACAGGGTGGATGTGTTGGGAATGCACCCTGTGTAATTGGCAAACAGTTGTATTCTACTATATTTAGTGAGAAACGTGAAGTGACTGTGTGCATGATGCCACCACAGAAGGACTTGTGCAAAGGGGCAAAATTAGAAGTGGAAGGTCCAAGCATGGAACAATTTGAATGGGTTTTAGAGAAATCATGGGTGCTTGAGGCCCAATGACACTGTCATCATGGGAGAAAGAAAAGGCTGCCATGGCAGGCGTTTAAGAGATGTGCTCACTACTTGGAATCTCCTGTGGGAGGTTGCAGATGAGACTGCAAGAGGTTTGCCAGCACAGAGTCCACGGTCCCTTATTTTCCCTCACAGAATGGCTTCTTTAGTTTGCAGCAGTGTTGACTTTCCTAGCAAGTTAACTCCAGTACTTAAGCAGGTGACCCTTGACTAGCTACCGGAACAGCCAGGGATGTGGTATTTGTTGCTAGTTAGGACATCTTGCTCCTCTGTGTTCATTTGGGCGTCTTAGAGAACCTGTGTGGAATTTTTCCTTTGAGCTCACTGCCAGGGCAGGCTGAGAAAGGCTGGATTCTTGGAGCCCAAGAGGCCACAGCAGACAAGATGATGCTCTACAGAGACTGGGGAAACTTCAGATACTGCTCACTTTTTACTTAATGGCTACACATGCAGGTATATTTGTCTGGATAAATATCCTGTGGCAGCAACAGAAAATCAGGAACAGTAACCGACTAAAATCTGGGTCCTAGGGAAGAGTTGTGGCATGGTTTCTGTCTCCTATCCGCCACATTTTAAGGGTGAGAATATGCTTAGAAGACAAGCAGCGCTTTGGTTCTTTGGGGAATGGATTTAACATAGGCTACAAAGAATAAAAAATAATCTTTCGAAGTGGTGGTGGTGGGGGGTGGTTATCTCGGATAACCACACTTACGATCACAGCCTCAGTCTCATCAGCTCTGTTCTTGGACTGGTTCTCTTTAACAACTTTATCAACGATGTGGACATCGGTGTCAGAAGCGCACTGGCCAAATTTGCCAATGACACTAAACTTTGGGGCATAGCGTTCACACCTGAGGGTAGGCTAGTGATCCAGGCTGACTTGGATAAGCTTAGAAAGTGAGCAGAGATAAATCTGATGATGTTTAATACTGAAAAATGCAAGGTACTCCAACTTGGGGCGGGGGCACGCACACGCATGCAGCACACTTATAGGTTTGGCAGTGCTACGCTTGCTAGCACCACTGCCAAAAGAGACTTGGGGGTCATGATTGACCACAAGATGAACATGAGCCACCAATGTGATGTCGCAAGTGGTAAAGCAAACAAAACTCTGGCTTGCATCTATAGATGCTTCTCAAGTAAATCTCAGGATGTCATCCTCCCACTGTACTCAGCCTTGGTGAGGCCACAGCTGGAGTATTGCATCCAATTCTGTGCTTCACAGTTCAAGAAGGATGTCGAGAAGCTTGAGAGAGTCTAGAGGAGAGCCATGTGCATGATCAGAGGGCAAGAGAATAGGCTTTATGAAGAGAGGCTGAGAGCCATGGGACTCTTTAGCGTGGAAAAGCGCAGGCTCAGGGATGACCTTGTAGTCTATAAGTACATAAGGGGTGTGCTGTTCACCAGAGTGCCCCGAGGGATAACATGGACCAATGGTCATAAACTCTTCCAAGACCGTTTTAGGCTGGACATAAGGAAATACTTCTTTACTGACTGAGCCCCCAGGGCCTGGAATTGACTCCCTCCAGAAGTGGTGCAGACTCATTCAAGAAATGTTTGGATGCTAATCTTGCTGGGATTCTTTGACCCTAGCTGCCTTCCTGCCCCTGGGGCGGGGGGCTGGACTTGATGACCTCCTAGGGCCCTTCCAGCCCTAATGTCTATGAAATCTATGAAATCATCAAAGCTTGGTGCTACAAAGCTTGTAATGTTCTTTCAGCTGTCAGGAACCCCCTGTTCCCCTTCCTTGAGACTTATGACTCTTATAATGCAGATCAGTGTGCAGAATCATTACTCGTTCACTCAGGGCTGTTCCTATGTTCTGTCCTTAGTGTGAAGAAAAGCAGAAGCCAGCAAGAATCGAGGCGGAAGTGGCTGAAAGCAGCATTCCTTATCTCTTCTGCTGTCCTTGGTGGCCTCTTGAGCTGGAGCTACTTGAAGAATGAGGACGGTGTCACTGAGGTGCTGGCTCACTCCAGCGAGAGCCTGCAGGACAGATTTGTGGAGGTGCCCTGCTCCGAGGATTATGACAGCCACAAACGATTTGAAGGTATTTGTATACAAGTGTCTGTGCTGAAGTGCGGTGGCCCTCCTAGTCACCTAGCAGGCTGCCTGTGCTCCAGCTGCATTTCCTCTGGAGTCTCAGGCAAACCTTTACATCCTGCATCTCATCACATTGTACATGTGTTTTGACTACCTAAGTGCTCAGGTCTCTGATGTCATTCCAGGAACTGTTGGTTCCAGACCCATTCCTGTACTATTCTTCCCCCATAAACTGCTTTTCTAAGGCAATGCAGAATAAACCATCTACTGATTCTATTTCTGAATTCCTTTCATGCTCCACTGAGTTCTGTAATGGGCTTGTGAAGGAGGTTGTTTTTTTCTAACCTGTAAATACTATATGGATGATGTAGTGGAAGTCATTTGGGGCATTGTCAGCATGTAATAATCACAAACACTAGCTTCTGATGCTGCTTTTTGCCAGATGTGTGTGTTGGAGCTGGTTTCTCTTCAGATTGTCACTGATAATGAAAACACAGCTTTGATATTACTGCTCACAGGTGTGGTAGGCACATGTGCTCCATAAATTCTCTTCCAGGAAGTTGCAGCAGCTTCTGAGGCATTTTCCTCTCCAGTAGGTACCTGTTTCCCTAGCCACTTATGTCTTTGGGTTCCTGTGATGGGGTTTCCCTCTCCTTTGTGCTGTGGAAATGGATGGCAGTGACTGGAGGGATACCAGGATTTTTGGGGAAAGTCCAGGCTGCAGTCTTAGCTGTCTAAGAATGTTGCCCCAGGGTTGTGTGGAAAAGCAGGAAAAACTCTCCTGTTTTTCTCTCTTCTCCTGGGTAGCTCTGACCTCTGTGGCAAGCTGACTTTGAAACCAAATGTGATGTAGACTGAGGGTCTGCTAGTATAGGCATGGCTGAAGTCATCCATGAGACCAGCAGGGGTGTATGTGGGACTTGTTCCAAAAGTTCTTTGGGCCAAAGTGCTTTGTAGCTCCCTGGTAGGAGAGCTCGCTGGGTAGAGAACGTACGTGGCTCTGTGCCAGTTAAAACACACTTTGTGCCTTCTGGTTTTTCCAAGATGTTATGGCCAGAAGGGAGCATTCTGCTAATCCAGTTTGGGGTCCGGTAGAAGCAAGGCCAGGGGTTTCTGCACAGTCACTCCTGCCTCAAGCTCAAAAGAAATGACTGAGCTGGTGCTTCCCTCAAAGCATGTTTATTTAGCTGTTAGGTTTATGGCCAGCAAAAAGCCCATTCTCATTTTTTGCTTGCCAGAGAAACTTGCGGTCCAGACATTTACTCTGCCCTGGAGTGGACAAGGTCCTTTTTGGTCTTGATAACCCAAACAGCTTTACATTTCATCATAGAGAGGCCCTGCAGATTTCAAGAGCTCTGTAACTTACTCCAAGTGAAGCACACACTCTTGTTTTATGATTAATTGGCCCTGAGAGCGTGGCTGGCTCCGCACCCAAAGGAGGCAGGGGAAGTTTTTCAGGTAAAGGCAGAGCCATTCCATAAAGCAGTCCTTTAAGTTTGTGTCTGGAATATTGTATCAGGTGCTATGTGCTCTCTTAACTTATTACATGTCAGTTGTTTACTTAAATGGCTGACAGTTTTTAGATGCATCCCTTCATTCTTTGTTCTCAGGAGGACACCTATACTATTTGATATATTTGCAGACATCTCTATTATTAGCAAGTTGACTTGACTTCTAGTGTGATGTATCAAGTGTACTCAGTGCTTGGTTAAATCTTGTTTTGTTTTTTTCCTGAGTCCCCACATGGGGGTGCTGTTGAGATGCTGAAGGAAATTCCCAGACACTTGCAGAAGGTTGCAGGTGGTTTTGCAGATAGATTAGTGATTCAGTAAAAGGAGTAATTACTCTGTTCTGTGAAACTGGATTCAGCCCCAGAGCTCTGAGCCAGACCTGTAGCTATTTTGGTGCCCTGGGCAGAGGGGAGATAGGGTGGATAGGTGGGGAAGGGATTTTGCTGAGCACAGGAGAACTAGAGTGGAGGGGCCAGGCAGAACCTTACCTGAAGGGTTGTGGGCTCACCTAGAGACTGTCTTCAGTGGGCTCACCTCTCAGTTGAGCCTGTTACCTCTGGCCTTGCAGTCCTGAGCCAGGAGTCTCTTGTCACCCTCAGTCACCATTCCCTTTACCCTCTCACAGCTGCCACCAACTTGTATGTAGATTGTGGCGGAGTGCTGAGCTTGTTACCTTGCTGCTATTCTGGTATCCCCTGCTTCCTTCCAGCAACCCCCAAAGTTAGTGCCTGGGGCTTGTGCCCCGATGGCTCATCCCTAGTTATGCTGCTGCTTGGAGCAGTTTGTTGGAAATTTCTTGGTGTCTTGAGGTGGGTCACCTTGCCTGTGGGCTTCTCCAGGCAGGCATTTTTCTCCAAAAAAGAAAGAGCCTGTGCACCTGCTCCCTGCCCAGCTCCCTGGTGTTTCCTGCAGACCTGGGAGCTCCAGCCACACCTTGCCCCATCCTCCCCATGGTCTGAGAGGCAGTGTGCTGCACTTCCCCTTTAGTAAATCCTGGTTCTGGCCACATGTGAGGGCATTTCCAGCCTCCTCCTCTTTAGGCTGATCTTGCTACTTTTCAAAGGCTGCTCAATGTCACTAAAATGACAGAATCTTGATAAAGTTTTTTTTGAGAACGTACTAATTTTAATTTTAGTTTTTTTCCAGAGGAGAAACTAGTTTGAGAAATAGAATAAGCACATTCAGAACTAGCATTTGTAGTGTCCTCCTCAGACAGGCAAATACAGAGTTGTGAACTGTTGTCACTTGAAGTGCAGAGTCAGGGAAAATTAGGAAGATCAAGAATGGTGCCCTTTGCTTCTGAGTCCTGTTGCATCCCTCCTGTGAGTCTCAGTATATTGTAAATGGTTGATATACTTTCATTTTGCAAAATGCAACGTTTTTGTTTAACCCAATGTTTAGCTGCAAGGGAAGAAGCATCAGTGAGATTCTTTGTTCTTAAAATAATCTAAGTCTTGTTTTTGATTGCTGTAGCAATTGACACTGCACAGTGCCACTCATGTGCAGAGACCCTGATACTCAGAAACCACTTGCAGATTTCTTACTTACAGGAAAACTGGTTAGTCTGCCACTTCCACTTTTTTGTTTCTCAGGATGGTTTATTCATTGTTTGTGAGAGAGGTAAATCTGGTAACCATTGTTTAACCAAAGGGCTTATTTGACCATCCGGTAACCATTATAGATGTTTGGATAACAACCACCAGATGTCCTGGCTTTAAATGTTTTCTCAAATACAGTCAAAGCTAATTCTTCAGGTAGATCTAGACAGCTAGGAATTCTTGCCTTCTGGATCCAGTGGAGCTTTGCATCACCCATTATGATGATGTTGATGAATTTATCTGTCTCACAAAGGGTTACATTTTCTGTGGTCATAATCTTTTGGGTTGTTTCACACCCCATGGTCTTTGAGAAGGGAGAGGGATTTGTATATTTTTTCTTTCTAGCAGGAAACATTTTTCTGCCATAATTCATTCAGAACATGATGGACTTGTCAGCTGCATTTGTGGAAAGACTCCCTAGATAAATGTTGTTTTTGAATTCCACTGCCAATCAATGCTGTTCTTCTAGATAATGGTCAGGAATTGTTCAAGGGAAATAGGTATTTGTTTTAGAGACTATGCAAACTACCTGGCTTCACTGCCAGCCTAGTTGAAAAGGACAGGAAAGTCGGTACTTTCTTTGATCAGGTTTCAGGTAAATGGTACAAGGAAAACTGGCAGTGTCCAGGAATAACAGGAATAAATAAAGAGAGGTAGAAATGATAAATGCTAGTTCTGAAAAACAAAGTTGTTAGACAGTGCATATAAAAAACTAGAACTCTTAGTTCCAAAATGATACCTTTTTATTAGACTAACTGGAAACTGGCAAGAAAATTGTCCTTTTCTACAAGCTTTTGGGATCAAAGCTTGCATTATTGTTATTGCAAATTATCATTTTGGAACCAAGAGTTCTAGTTTTTATGTATGTCTTTTCATCTCAGACCAACACGGCTACCGAGTACACCTCAGACTGTGCATGCATTCTGTCTTCAAAATGCAAAAACATTTTAAAGACAGAATGCATAAAGGTTGTTAAAAAGTAAATTTTTAGTTTTGCTCCAACTTATTTTTTAAATTTAGGACTAGGCCAAAGCTCATGCAGAACCTAATTATAAACTGTTTGAGGCTATTGATTCTCACAGTGGGTACTAGAAGGATAATGAATGGTCATCTGTCATGGGTGGCTATAGGCATGTGAAGGTCCATGTCTGAAAGTTAAAAAGAAGATTTGTAAAAAAAAGTACTTGTTTTTCCAAAGTTTGGTTCAGATTCCTGCAATGATACAAATAAAGTTTAACCTTCAGATGCTGGTCTATCAATGAGTCTGCAGTTTTTGCATCCATAGTCTAGTACACCATAGTTTGAGGTTTTAGCACTTGCACTGGTTATTCTGTCGCATATTGTGACCACAGCAATAGACCATTACAGGAAGGCTTCTGTATCTGAGTTTTGAGCCATTTTAATAGATTTCAAAGTAGTCAAATAGTACTTCCATTGACGCAGTAAGTAGTATCACACAGCAGGGTGTTTAGGTGCAAACGGTTGCCTTATCGTGAATAAGTCTCATGGAAATTCAGGGTGTTGCCAGTCAAAGGCTGATCTCTTTGCGTTCCGTACTGGAGAAGAGAAGATACCATGGTGTGATGTGATTGCTGTCTGTGGTCTGCATTTTAAGTCTTGTGTACAAAAGTCTCTACTGATGTTTCCTCCTAAAAGCATGCTTTCTCCCCTACAACTTCACTTGCAACATTGCTCCTTAATCACCAAAGAAGTTGTCTCCATGTTGGGTGAAAGAACCTCCCCCAGTGTTACCACTGCCATCCAGGATACCTTCCCTGTTTCTCTGCACTCCCTTGTCATCTGGCCTCTCTTCAGTTTCATCTCAAGACCTGTATGTTACCCCATCATGTGCCATCTAATCTTGGTCTCAGATGGGACAGTCAAATTCTGCTTACTGCTTTTCCAGGCTTTATGCTCCATCATCATCAATGTTGATGCTTCTGCACAGATCATGTTGTTAACCATCGCGTCTTTAGTAGATTAGGCCAGCACTTCCGAGAACCTGAATTCGTTTCTATTTCTGCGCTATGAGAAAGTCCCACTAGTGCAGAATTCTAGTACCTTTTATGACGGGGCAGGCAAAACTTGGTTAATGAGTCCCCATTCACATGCTTATTACAGCCTGTGGCTGTGAGCTGTACTCTTTAAACCCATACAGTAATTCCAGGTCTTGCAGTCTTATTACAGATGTTCCAGTATTGGGTGTTGAGCTCTTCTGCACCTGGAGTTAGGTAGTAATATGAAAATTCCAGGGTTTTTTTTTAAAGGAAGTATGTTGCCTTTAATGGTTGCAGAGGAAGTCTTGAAAACTTTCCCTGAGTAGGTCCTAGAAATTAAAAACTCTGAATTAATTACTTAAATGTATGACAAATTCTCTGTTCTGACTCTTGAATAACAGAGGTTGGCAATACAGCTGGACACAGGTTTGTGACTTGTACTGTGGCTTCAGGTTGTCACCTCTGTGATGTCTTCAGTCCACAGTTGCTTCTTTTCTGGTTTAAGGCACTTGAATTTCCATTGAATGGCATCTTGAAAACTGCCAGTGGTTCAGGAACTCTGTTTCATTTGTGTTTCAACACAGTACAGAATAGCATGCTACATGTCCTTTATTTTAGATGGCTAATTCCCCTGCTCCTCCTTGAAATGATTCTTGAGGACTTGCCAATTTCTTTGTTTATTATTGCCAGATTCAGCAAAAGTGAATTTTAAAGGTTATTTGTGATACATCTTAAAGCTATATGCCCTTTCACCAGAAGACTGACATGCAGGCTCTTGTATAAAGAGCATCTCTCAGGACTTTTTTATGTCAACACAGGATATAAAATATTGTTTGTCCTGTTCCGTCTCTTCCACACGAGGTTGTTCAAGCAAATTTTGAACATGCCTCTGTAATTCTCCCGGCAATATTCCCATATGGCTTAGTGTGACTGGAAGCAGCTCTTTTATATGGTTACTCCTTGTTTTTTCCAGTGATTCTGAGAAGAGATGGGATGCTCTTCACTCATTGGACTCTCTGCCTACCAGGCAGGTGATTTCATGGCTGTCTATAGAAATTAATTTGAATTAGAATCAGTTGTAGAGTCCTCTGAATGATTAGTACAAGTGAGTAGCACGGCCACTTTCCTATTGTCTATACCAGGGGTATCAAACATGCAGTCTGTGGGTCAGATTCACCCCATAGAACCTCTCTGTCCAGCTTTCCAAGCTACCAGAGGGCACTGGAAGTTGTCCCTTGGGGCCTGTTGAGGATGGTCATTGGTGGCATGATTGGCTCACTGCTGCTCAACCCTGCACTCCTGCTGCTCTGGCCCTTACAGGACCCTGCCCGCCAACCACCCCCAGAACCTGCACTGACCCTATTCTTGACCCTGCCGGACCCTGCCCTGCCCCCACTTCTTCCCCCTGTGGACTCCAGGCTGCCACCACACTCTGCACCGGCCTCTGTCCCTGCTGGACCTGCATGCCACTGCTGCTGCCATCAGACCCTGGACTACCTGTGCTGGACTCCATGCCATTGCTGCTGCCTGACTCTGCACCACCCAAACCAGACCCCACTCTGCTGCTGCCTTAGTAGCCACTGCAGCAGCCCTCATGCCCTGAGTTAGATCTGGTCTGTGGCCCCGATCCGAGGTGCAGTGCTGGCTTAGCTGGGGCCCTGTCCAGCTGTGTGGGTCCTGGACCCGATTCAACCATGTGGGACTTGGAAATTTGGTGGTGGTGCAGTGGCACTGTGAGTTGCCATCACTCGCCCATCATGAAATTTCTGGACACATGGGGAGCCCTGTGGGCTGGATGGTATGGCTCCACTGGCCAGATCTGGCCTGCAGCCTAGAGATTGAGCACCCCTGGTTTAAGCCCTTTATTTGGACTTTGTGACAAATTTGTTTCTACAAAAAGCAAAGAGGAATAGAAATGTTCCTATGATTTGTTCTTAGGTTAGCGGGAAGTGTAGTTTATTTTTAAGGGCATTGCACTGTGTTTAACCAAAAAGTAGAATTTCTGCTTCACACAAAGTATAACTTGAAGGTGGGTAGAAACAAAAGGGGAATTGCCTAGTCTATTTTCACTTCTGAAAGTGAGCAATGTGCACAAGACATCACTAGCGAGAATCAACTTTATATGGGTCAAAATTCTTAGTTTTTAGTTTTAATAATGTTAGTACTCTAGGTCAAGGAAGCTCCTTTTTGAGTCTGACAGTGTCTCTTTCAAACAAAACAAATGTTGGGGGAAATGGGATAAAGGGACTGAAATTCATGATGTGTGTTTTTTGGTAACATAACCTTTTCTTTTTACTTCTGTAGGGTGCACTCCTAGGAAATGTGGAAGAGGCATAACTGATGCATTGATCACTAGAGAGGAAGCCGAAAGAATCCGTAGGTAATTTTTTTTTCCTTTTTAGCTTTTTAAACGTCCCTAATGTTAGACTGGAAGAAAGCAGAATTGCAGTGATGGTGCTTACAGCCTGTAACTGATTTTAAGCTCGTTAGTTGAAGGACTAAGGCTAATGATGTAGAGCATTAAACAGCTTTTTTTTCAAAGCTGCTTTTTCATTTTGCAATAATCTGGGGCAGACTCTGCCTAATTTAATAGAGGCTAAGGAGAGAAACCCAAAGGCATATGGCATTGTCCTGGATTGAACACAGTCTTATTTAAGTTGGCTCATTGTTCTCTGGCAGTCTTTTCTCTTTTTTATTTGTACTCCTGTCATTTTTTGTGCACCTGAGCTAGAGTTAAGAAAGTGCCATAAGCAGGTGGCTTCCTCCATGCTTGCATGTGTGCTGGTCCAGTACTGGGGACATTTGAATATGATACAGTTGAAAGGATAATTGAAAGATAAAAGATCCAATCTTTCTTTGAAAGAGAATAGTATTCACTAAATCAAGCACTAGGCTGTAGTGGTGTAGCTTATGTTATACATCACTGGTTGACTGTAAATGCTGTTTCTTACACTCTCAGCCTTTCTGCTGATATGCAAATGGTATAAATACCTGGTTTCACTTTCAATAGGGCTTGGCTCACTAGACAGTAATCTGCCCTTACCAAAATCTGGGCTTCTAGTTTTGAAAGAAACTAGATTATATTAAAAGATTACTGTCCTTTTGAATTCAGATCTGGGCTTCCTCACACTGGACCTGCTTGAACAGGGTTTGCCAGACTTTTGTTTTTAGAGTCTTTGGGGTTTCTAGAAGGAAGCAGAGAATTCCTGACCCTGCAGCTGCCTTTTTTGGTGTTGTATACTTTATTTTCATGATTGATGGTAATTGCACAAGCAGATAGCATCTCGTCTTCCTCACTCATATCCATGACATCTGATGATTTGTCCAGTATTTACCAAATGGCTGTGCATTGTAACTGATGTTGTTAAAGGCCAAAGAGATCTGACTTCCTTTCTGATCTGAGACTGTTGTTTCACCTGCAGAATAGCAGAAAGGGGACTGTCCTTGGGAGGATCTGATGGAGGGGTGAGCAGCATCCTGTTACTTTTTTACATTCTTGTATTGTCAAGGCAAGATTTTAGGTTGTGAATGCATTTGGGGGACAGGGTGTGGGGAGGAGGAAGGATAGAGAATTTCTTCTGATACTGTGACTTGGCAGACTCTTCCTTAAGAAGATGGTGCTCCCCAGTGTTATGTCCAGGAGCAGTGAAATTCAGGGTCACTTGCATTTTCATTTCCTTATTCTGTGTTAGTCAGTTCAGTTGAAACTCTCATATGGTACTATCCAGGATGGTGCGTGGCATTACATTATGTCCCTGGAAGCAGTTAACTACAGCAAAGTTGCATTAATTTGACTCCTTTTTCTTCTAAACTGGGTCTATAAAATAAGCAGTGGTAGCCCCTGCCTAACGATAAGGTTTGTGTAGCACCATGTCTGTTACCTGAAGGAGACTATGTGAAAACATTGTTTAACAACTGCTCCCCTCCAGCAAACCACCCCAGGTGTTTCTTCCCTTACTCTTCTCACATTTTATGAGAGCAGAGTCCTTTTGTTTCTGAGGTGTTCATCCACTCTTGTTGCTTACTTCTCAGCATTGTTGGCAGTCTCTTGGCTTGCCTATGTTCTAAGGTGGTTGCCATCAAAGCTGTGTGGCTCAGCCCTGGAGTGGAGATGTGACATCTGGTAACTGCAGGGGTTTTCCTGCCGTTGTAGCCCCAGCTTCTTCTGAAACAATCGTAGGAAGGTATGGCTGGAAGGGACCTTACAAGGCCACTTAGTCCAGCCCTCTGGTCAAGGCATGTTTATCCCTGACTAAAACAACCAAGCCAAGTGTCTGTCCAACCTGCTCTTGAAAACTTCCCGGGATGGAGATTCTGCAATTTCTGTAAGTAGCCTGTACCAGTGCTTGACCACCATCCTAGTCAGAAAGTACCTGCTAATTTCCCCTGCTGCAGCTTGAGGCCATTGCTCCTAGTCCTGTCCCCCATGGCCACAGAGAAAAGCCCAGTTCCATTTCTCTAATTGCCCTATGGGTATTTGAAGACTGTTATCAAATCCCCTCTCCGTCTCCTTTTCTCCAGACTAAATAACCTTAGTTCTTTCAGCCTTTCCTTATCAGTCATGCTTCTCAGTCTCTATCAGCTTTGGTTCTCTGTGCTGGACTCTTTCCAATGTGTCCACATCCTTCTTGAAGCGTGGGGCCCAAAACTGGACGCAGTACTCCAGGCGAGGCCTCAGCAATACTGAACAGAGCAGAAGAATCACTTCCCTTGATTGGCAAGTGATGCTTCTGTTAGTACAACCCAATATGTTGTTGGCCTTCTTTGCAACAGTGTTGTCTCATACTCAGCTTATGGTCTGCTGTAACCTCTGGGTCCTCTGCTGCATTACTGCAGCCTAGCTAATCATTCCCAAGTCTCCATTTGTGCGTGTTGAGCCTGTATTTGTGCATGTTGAGAGTCATTGTTCACCACCCGCTTTTGAGACTGGTCCTTCCAAAATGGCAGTTGTGGTGGTTGGGCACCGTGCCGCCCCACTCCCAGCTGCCCCCTCCCCCTCTCAGGTCCTTGCACCCTGGGTAGGCCCTGGTGCAGTATAATACAACCATGGGTTACTGCATATTGAAATTGGACAGAGGCCCTGGTCACGGCATGAACTGAAGTTGGCTCCAATGAATACCAGACTAGGCATACCATAAAGGCTTGCACAGAAGTGCTGACAAAGTAGCTTGTCAGTTTTAGAGGCATCGTCAAAGCCAACAGATAGCAAATTTATAAGGCTGGGTCAGAACATCAAACAAAGATCAGTGACCTGGGAGACAGGTGTCTCTATGCAGTGGGAAAGATGTGCTAATTGGCAAGATTTAGGATGTGGTTGTTTTTAATTAAAGAGGGTTTAGTCGTTGTTGAGCACTAGGATGTGTCTGGTGTAAACATGAAGTTCTTTTGGTCTCTAAAAAGAGGCCTGGGAACCCTTAATAGTTTATACAGGACTTAGGGGTTATGTCCATGCCTGTGAATAACCTGGCAAGTGCCACGGATGTTAGCGTCTAGGCTTCTTTTAGTTAGTAAACCTGGCTGAGCTCTTTGTCACTAAGAACTGAAGCCTGCAGTCTCTTTCTTATAACAGTGAAGTTGTTAAGGACACAGCGTCACAGACGGTATCCTGACAGTGTGTATCCTGACGGGACTGGTAACATCTAACCCCTGAGGAGCACTAATAGAGTCCAATCGAGTCCACCTTGACAACACTGGTGACTCCCTGAAAACTTGCACCCTGAATCCCCTCAAATCTACAGCAGGGGCTTGGTCTTTTTGTCCTGATACTGTGGAGGCAGAGCCCAGTAGCACAACTCAGTGTGGGAGGTGATGGGGAAAAGAATATAGCCCCCTGCCCCCATGGGTGTAGGTAGGGGCAAACCGAGCCCTTTCTGTTTGCATCTCTCACTGGGCAACTCCTTCCTGAGAGGAAGCAAAAGCTTCCCCTTGGGTTGAGGAACCCTCCCATTAGCTGTGATCTCATCCAGTCTGGGGCAGATTTTAAATGGACCGTGGGGCAGAAGCTGTGGTGACTGGGAAGATTAATGGTGAAACGTTTAATGTCAGAAATTGTTCTCTCCCTTCCACACCTTACACACAGGGTGCTTCTCTTTATCACCTTGCTACGTGTTCCTCATGGAGCATCCTTTCCCCCTGGGAATGGAGGTGGCATTGTCTTCTATTATAAAGACAAAGGGGCGCAATTTTTTTCCATTGCTTCTGTCACAGACCCCAAAGGCTTAGCTCCACTTGGTTCTAAGGTAATCTGGATCCCCTCGGGTCCTTCATGCTTGGCTCCATCTGCTTTCTGCTCGCTGAATGCTGAGGAAGCCTCTGTGCTTCCATTTTCACCGCTCAATCTCCATGTAGTCCGTGGCATAGCCCGTGGGTCAGATCCAGCCCGTGAAGCTATTAGGTGAGCACACTGGTGCAGACCAAGCCTGCGACGTACTGTATTTTCTTGCATATCAAATATCATCCCTCCAAAATCAGGCTGCGTGTATTAAGCAGGGAAACTGAGTTTTTGCTGGAATAGATGCACTGAAGAATAGAAGCAGGGAGGCAGTGCTGCAGGATGGCTGCTGTGATTCCCTCTCTGCTAGCCTCAGCGAGGGAGGGAAGCGAGTTCAGAGCTGTAGTGCTGACCCTCTCACAGCCACAGCTGCAGCAGGCAGGATCCCTGCAGTGTTTCTGCCACAGACCCCAAAGCCTGAGCATTTTTCCATGTCCGGAAAATTCTTTTTTTCCCTTCTTTTTGCTTCCCTAGATAAGGTGCATGTCTTATTTGGGGGGATGCTGTGTGAGATAAGATGATACTGCTCTGTTGTTGGAGATAACTATACTGTCACTAACGGCCTGATGAGATTATTCACAAGTGTAAAGACAGGCACCTACTTTAGTATATTGCTGAATGAGGGCATCAAATTAAAAATAAAAAAAAAAGGGAATGAGCAGAAGGAGCTGGTAGGCTTAAGAACACCCTTGTTCTCTTTTCCATGCAGATATCCTTAGTAATAAGTTATGAGGGAAGTTGATACAGAGGAGAAATTGCTTCCAAATCAGGTATCTCTTTTCCAGAAGGTCTCAGTCAAGCTGTTTTTTAATTGGCATAACTCCAGTGGCATGGAGAAAAAAAATATTCACCTGACAAGAGTTTCTGTCTCCCAGCTTTGGAGAATCCAGAGAGTGACTGGCTTTATGCTCCAGTGGGAAGGGTCTGGTGTTACTGAGCAACATGCACTGGCTTGGGCATTTAAAAGAAATTGCTGGGAGGCTTTTGTGGGTGAAAGGAGTTAGGAAAGAGAAGGGTGTTATACCTCTTGTGGAATTGTTCCCGCATGCTGTGAATTCACACTGCTCTATACCTGCTAAGTATGTTATGTGTAAAGCACTGTACAATCCTGAATCCTCACAACAGCCCTGTTTCTATGTAGAATTATTTTCTTTTGCTGAGTACAGGTCAGTTGTTTTCTACTGATGACACCAGACCCTTTTTCTAAAGGAGTGAAGTATTTCAGTGTTTGATGAGAATGGATCTTCTGTTTCAGTATTTGCAAATACCACCTTAACTCATGGAAAGCATGTCATACGTTACGATATCAGCTGATATGATGCTATTTTTCGTGCTGATGTTTTATTTATATTTCATACTGATGTTACAGTTCAGATGGGTAGACTTTGAATACCAGCAGCACATATATTTTGTTAAAATTTCCAATGGAGAGTGCTCGTGGGAATCTCAGGGCAGTGTGAGAAATTATTGCTGTATATGAAATCATATCCCTTGACTGGCTGCTTTTGCTCATGTTCCGTTGAATGCATGGAGGTGGCTCTGCTTTTCAGCAAATTAATGTTTGATTACTTTTCTTGAAATAAACTAATGTAATTGTTACTTCCCCAAATGTAGCTGTCTTTGGTGCAAGTCAAGTTGGGACCCTTGATGTCCTATCAGACTGATTAATTTTTTTTTTTTTAATTGCTTTGGTCCCCACTTTCTTCTCTAGGTTAGGATTTTTGCTTTCCTGAACTCCAGGCTTACTCTGAGGCACATCGCCTCTTGGTTAGTGCATGAAATCGCAGAACTCCATTGTGATATAAACTCAATTATTCAAATCAGAAGCTTATCTGCTGCTTTGGAGCTGATATTTTTGGAGAGTGACTGCGGCTTTATCCTTCCCTTTTTCTGTGTCCGTTGAAAGAAGTACTTTGGACAGAGACTTTTCAGTGCTTTTGTTCCATTGCATATTTCTTTTCTCTCTAGTATTGCGTGTCTTTTTGCTCCCTCCTCTTTAATGCATGCACTCACATTTAACATATCTTTCAGCCAAAAAGGTCTTGGGGACATCTTTCAACTCTCAGGCCTTGTCAGGTTTGGATGAGTTATACTCAGTCATTGAGGGGGATGGTTTCAAGAGGAAAAGCATCTCATCTTACTTGAAGCCTTCATTCTCCCTCCTAGCCTATCTTTTGGAGTGTTTAGTTGAAAG